TTCTTAATTTTAATGTAGTCTAATTAAACCATATTTTCCTTTATATTTGGTGGTTTTTGTTTCCTGTTTAAAAAAAATGTTTGCCTAACCTAAGGTAGTGAAGATACTCTTTTGTGTTTTCCTTTGAACACTTTAGCTGTATCTTTCAAGTCAAGCTTCATGTAGGCGCACATGGATATCCAATGTTGTAGCACCATTTACTGAAAATATTATAATTTATTTACTGTACTACAGTGTCTCATTTGTCATAAATAAGTGGGTCTATCGATGATATAGATATAGATATAGATATAGATATAGATATAGATATATAGATATAGATATATTTCTTGACTCTATTGCTTTTTCTTGTCAACTTGTTTATGTGATATATATATATATAAAGATATATATATAATGATATATAATTTTTTTCCTATGAAATCACTACACTTTTTAAATTATTATAGCTATATAATAAATCTTGAAATCTGGTAAAGTAAGCCATCCTATTATGTGAATCATATTCCAGATTATCTTTGCTATTCTTGAGCCCTTGCATTTTCATATGTTTTATATTCATCTTGTCAATTATAACCCACAAAAAATGCTGGAGAGTCTTACTGGAATTATATTTAATCTAAGATCAATATGAAAAAAATTGCCATCTCATAACATTGCATCTTTTACTTTTCGAAATGTATTGTAGTTTTCGGGGGAGAGCTATTGAAAACAAGTTGTTAGATTTGTCTGTAGGTATGGGTTGCATTCTGATGCTATTATACGTTATACATATATGTGCACATATATATGTTATTTTCTATGTGTTTTGGAGGATCTATATGCAAAATGTCAAGATTTACTCTAAATCTAGAGTAATTAAAATGTGTTTGTAATCATCAATTAACACAGAAAATCAGACCAGTGGAATGAAATAAAGTGTCTAAAAATAGACTCACACATATATCTTATGATATTATGATACAAGCTCATAGCAATTAAATGTGAAAATAATTGTCTTTTGGTGGTGCTGGGTCCATTAGATACGCATATGGAAAAATATATAAACACTGGTCCCTACCTGAAACCATCTTCTCGAGATGGATCATAGCCTTGAAAGCTAAAGAACAAACTTGGGGTCTGTCTTCATGATCTTGGGTTAGGGTAGGTACAGACTTCTTAAGCAAGCCGCAGAAGTCCTTAATTACTTATTTTATATAGTTACCGATAATACTTGGTTTTCTATCTAAATTTCAGTATTTGTTCTATTTGTTTCAACTGTAGTACATTCCTTTTTCTCTCTTCCTTGGCTTATTTTGAATGAGGCACTTTTACTGTTACTCCAATTTCCCTGTCACAACTTGATAGTTAAATATTCCCTTATTATTCTTTTAGTTGTTACTCTAACTATTAAAACAAGCACTCTGGCCATGTTGGTGTCTAATATAAATGACTACTTTTACCTCTTCACAGACAATTCATGGGACTTAAAGCAGTTTCACTCTAGTTACGTCCCTCTACATACTATATCACTGTTGTCGTGTAGATTAATTCTCTCTCTGTTTTCAGTCCCATAGCTGATTATCACTATTGGTCGGCAAAGTTATTAAATATTAATTTCAATTTACCCACATATATACTCTCTTTCTACTCTTCATTTTCTCCATTATTTTTGTGCTTTTGTCTAGGATCATGTTCTTTATGCTACATCATTACCTTTAGTATTTTTTATTTTATTTTTCAATTCCAATTTAAATCCAACATCATTTTATATTAGTTTCAGGTGTACAGCATTGTGGTTACTTTACAAAGTAGTCCTTTGGTTTTTTTTGTTTTTTTTTTGATAGAAATCAACTTATATGATTCATCTCAGCTTTTGTTCATCTGAAAAATATCTTTTAAAACTATTTTTTTTTTCCTTTATTGATTTTAGAGAGAGAGAGGAAGGGAGAGGGAGAGAAAGATAGAAACATTGATGAGAGAGAACACCGATTGGCCACCTCCTGTATACCCCGCCCCCACCCCACTGGGGATCGGGCCCACAACCTGGGCATGTGCCCTGACCGGGAATCAAACCTGCGACCTCTTGGTGCCTGGGTCAACACTCAATCACTGAGCCACACAGGCCAGGCTCATCTGAAAAATATCGTTATTTTACCTTCACATTTGTATTTTCTTCTCCAGCACTTCAAAAATGTCATTCTATTTTATTTAAGGCTACTTTAAAAATTTTCTCTGTTTTTAGATTTCAGTGGTTTGAATGTGATACCTGAGCATGGTCCTTTTTTATATACAGCCTGGTTGGAGTTTGGTGATTCTCTTAAATCCATGGGTTTGACATGCTGTGTCTTTGATCAATTTTGAAAATTCTCAGACATTATCTCTTCGAAATGATTCTGGCTCCTTATCTCCCTCATCCCTTGCTGAGACTCCAGTTACATCTGTGTAAAATCAGCTTTTCACCATTTCCCACCTGTCTCTTAAAATTCTCCTATTTTTTATGTTTTCTCCTATGCTACAAATGACCTGATTTCCTAATGTCATTTCTTCCAGTTAACTGATTCTCTATTCATCTGGGTTCAATTTCCTGGAAACCCACTGAAGTCCTTAGTATCAGTTATTTTATCTTTATTTCTACAATTTCCGTCGGATTACTGCTTCCTGATTAATGCTGCAGGGTCTTGTCCCATACTTACGAACATATCACTCATACAACAGACAACTGTTCTTTCAGTGATCAGTCAACTGCATATCAGACAGCTGTTTTTTTCGGTTGCTTTTTCCCCATTTGAGTCTGTTTCTTGATATATCCATAATTTTTCCCAAAAAATAAATGCTCAGCATTTATATAAAAAATAGGTAAGGTCTCTGATTTGTTTCATTTTCCTTAAAGAGGATTTGACAGGCATTTCGAGGAGGGGAGAAATCATTCTCAACTCTTCAGATACTGAAATAATTTCAGGTGGGATTGCAGGGTTTGGACAGCCTGCTCTGATTCTGGGGTGCCCTCTCCTGGGGCAGAGCTTTCCAGGGGTCCCATGAACCTAGCCGGGTCTCCCACTGTTCACCTGGGGGTGGCTGTTCCCAGACAGCAACTGAACTCACATTTTTATCTCTTGAAAATGTTAATACTTTTTAAATCTAAGCTCACCTTCTAATCCTCTTAGTGGCTACTTTTTCTTTAGCCTGTATCACTTAGATATTGTCAAATAACTCCAGGAGGAAAAAGCACAGGCTGTCTGTGCTTCCCTGCCCCCTGGGAGGTGGCCTCATCGGCCTGGCTGCTTTGGCTCGCCCCAGACCAACCCGTATCGTCCGGCCTTGTGGGTCCCAAAGAGCTGCTGAGCCAGCACTTTGCACCTGGACTTCCACAGGGGATCTGAAATCTGAGCTCTTACGCAGAGTGATGGATGAATTGGCCAAGTTCTCGCGGGAGACACAGCACACGATGTTGGCCTCGCTGCAATGAATCCCCCGTCTCTTGGGAAACAATTTTGGCTTTTCGAATCCTCTTGATCATTCTCATGTTCATCTTCCCCCTTCGGCCCCCTCTCTCACTCTTGCTCTAAGTACATATGTATCGTTTGGTTTGTGGCAAGCCAATCTGTTATAGCCGCAGGCAGAAGTCCCCAAAGGTTTTACTTCTGTGAAATGCGAACAACTCCACTTGGCCTGAATTGGCCTATATCTTTCTCGTTCCACCTGAAGAATACTGAGGGACCTCAGTAGTTAGAAGATTGGGTATGTTGAAAGGCACCCCTTAAGGAGATAGGCACTAGTTAGAGTAGTGGATCTAAATGGTCCCTGGACCAGGAGGACCAGCATCCTCTGCGCCAGAGCTCCAGACTCCTTTCACAGTTGTTTTTTTTCTACAAAAATTAAAATACTAATAATTTTATCAAATCTGACGATATAACCCTAATTACTTCACCTTTCCCCTTCGAGTCACCTTGCAGAGCCTCCCAGACTCCTCCCTGCCCCTTGACTTGTTTTCCTGGAAGCACAATGCCTAACCTGTGACCGCATTAGAAATGCACCTTTTTGGGCCCCACCCCCACCTGCTAAATTACAGTCATTGGACACGGGGCTCAGAAAACCCTTGTACGGTGCTCCCTGGTGATTCTTATGAAGGTTGAAGACCGAAAGCCTCTGCACTGTCAGAAGAGAACGCTGAAGTCACTGACTGCAGTGAATAAATCCGACTCCTCCGTCGTGAGTAACTATTTAAGTCCCATTGTATTCACAAGGCCTAGCACAGTGCTCAGAAAACATGGCTAGAGGTAGGACTGCCTGGTTGAACCACTAAGATCCTTTAATGAAAGTATTTATCCTTCAGAGACCATCTTCCTCATTCACAGGATGACAAAGATGTCTGTGTACATTCTAAGGTACATCGTAGAAAGCTCATGTTATCTATCATCTAAACACTCAGAAATTTCAGATAACCATAGCTTGAAAAACATTAATGCTCATAATAATATCCTTGAAGTGCTACCAAAAAAAAAATAATAATACAAACTCTCAATAGCCAAAGAAAGCATACGCGAGGGTGTGCAGATGGGCCCCTGGGGTATACGCTCAGCCAGCATGTTGCCTACGGAAGAGAGAAGCAAGACCTCAGGTTGAGAGAGGAAGACAGCATCAGTACTTTCTACGTGGGCTGAGCATGTGTGTATGCTACATTGTTTCAGAATTATCATTATTAACGTATTCCGGAAAAAACTTTTTGCTACAAGTGGCATGAAGGCAAGCTACACCCAAAAGAAGCCCCCAAGAAGCGAGATACTTAGTGGGGGCGGAGAACTCTTGCTGGGAAATAAAAATCCTTTTAAAAAAATGTGTCAGAGAAGATAAAACAGTAACAACAAACACGAGAAACTAAAAGTAGAACACAATAAAAATGTAAATAAAAATGTCAAACATCTGTAAATAAAACCAAAAAGCCATGTAAACCAAACCAGGACGCCTTCGGAAGCACCCCTGGCTCTGGCAGGCAGAGGGGAGACGGCAAGCAGTCCTACCTCCTCCAGCTGCACCATGAGGGTGACGTTGTGCCCTTGCTCCGCTGTCAACTTCCCGTCCGCAGTGACGATGCGGAGCCCCCGCGGGGCCTTCCCCGGGCACTTCTGTGGTTTGGCCGTGTACTGTTCTCTCACGCCATCCGTGCAGTTATTGGAAACCACCTTCCTATACCTAAACGGAGAGAAGCTCAAGTCGTCACACAGCTCATTATAATTCGGATCACTCCCAATTCTTGCAGCTGAACCTGCTGCCTAGCCCTGAGGGCTATCAATAACTACACTTCCTGTTGCCCTGAGGGTTACAGCTACTTCATCCAAGCACCCAACAGGAAGACAAGTCATCATAGTAACACACTGTACCTATTGCTAGCACCTTCATATACTTCTTTCATCCATTTGGTCAATCAATCAATCAATCATTTCACTTCAGAGCCGCGGGAAACGCAGAGCTGTAGGAGACATGGTCCTTGCCCTCACAACGTTTATAATCTCGGTGCAGAGATACGTGTGGGTAATCCGGGCGATACTTCGAAGGCTGTACAGGGTTAGCATGAGAAATATACATTGCCCGGGAATTTGCAAGTCAGAGGAAGAAGAGAGTGTTCCGGATGACATGGTTTGACGTTAGATCTCACGGAGCGTGCTATTGTAGTGGCGAGGTTCAGAAAGTTGGCTAAATTTGATCTTTTCTGCTCAATACTTCATGTGGGGTTAGACTGGCTAAACCACTGAAATCTCATATTCAGGAGACTTCAGTCTGCAACTTGAGTAAATCCTTCCTACCTTTTTGCTTATTTCTTCTTGTTTGTGCTTTATAAAAAATTAAATTATCCTATAGAGGTACACTATACACTTGATCATTCACTAATAAACTAAATCTGTGGTTTCAGGCTGATGAGCCTGTAAGGCTTTGGGGGTACAGTGTGAGGTCCGCAGCACTTTATGTATTCATATATTTGATTTCCCAAGACTATTGCCTATAATTAGTGGTAGAGCTCACACTGGAAGCAAAGCCCCTAGGTTTTTGCAGTCTGCTAGACCAGGGGTTGACAAACTTTATATACAAGGGGCCAGACAGTAAATGCTTCAGCTCTGCAGTCTGCACGGTCTTCGTGACAAGTGTTCGACTCTTCGGTTGTGCATGGAAGTGGACACAGACAGTGTGCAGAAGAATGAACGCAGCTGGGTCCCGACAAAGCATCTCTGCAAACACTGGCAGTGTGCCGGCTTTGCCTGGCAGGCTCTTGTCCTCCACCTTCCCAATGCAGCCACACCTCTCTCTTCGATCCCCTTGAAAGCATTTATGTTCTGCCGCTCGTTCCACTTGACCTGCTGTATGCACCGTGGCTGCCCATGCCTTCAGCCTCAGCTCACCGCCTGTCTCCTCCTGGTAGCACAGTAGTGAGACAGGAAGCTCCCGTTCAGAGAGTTCTCACTGTGCTGTGGTTTTGTCCTTGCACTAAGTTCCCAAGGAGACCTTTCTCCTCCATCGTCAAAGTATCCCTAGTAAGGAAGGTGTTGTTATTCCTAACGTAAAGATGAAGAAAAGATTCAAAGAAGTTAACTAGTTTTCTCAAGATGCCACAGCCAGAACTCCAAAAAATCTGTCTCTAGAACACATCTGTTTTTAACCACTACACTGCCCTGGTTCTTCAAATGGAGCAAGATCATCCCTCCTCTCCACTCTTCAAGGATCCTCATGATTGACTGCACAGGGATCATGTGCGCCTTGTAGGACTGTCTTCCTGGGTGTGACTGAACGGTAAGCTCCTTGTGGGCACCCCTGAGCCCCGGACTCGCAAGCCTGACAATCAGGAGGTCCACACCGGGATGGCTGTGTCCTTTTCAATACTGAAGGGTGCCTTCGGGCACCTCACCCACCAGCCCAGCTGTGCTGATCCCTGTCTTTGGAATTCCTGCTTGCCTTTCAAATTCAACAACGAGCACAAGCAGGAAGCCCCCAAACCCCTGCTACTGCACTGAGCTCCCTGCACGTTCTGCTTGGCCATTGTCATGTCTGAGCCTGTCTGACATCACCCCATCTGATGGTCTTTGAAATCCATTGGACGTGCTTATCAGTACATGCTGACTAAAAGACGAAATGATGGCAGGTGGGGAAGGGAGGAAAACAGAAAGGTGCCGACACTGGAGAACGGTGGCATTCTGGGACCAGCAAGGGGAGTAGGTAACGCTGTTACACAGAAACGATAGCATCCCAGTGAATTTAACCGCATGTCAGAAACTCCCCGTGTGCTTCTAAAGCAGGGCACTAGGCCAAAGAAAGGCAGATCATGATTTTTAATCACCTCACATCCAAGCACACCTGTGACTCCGTCTTGGCGGGCAGCTATAAGAGGCACGGACTCACCATCGCCATTGTCATCATAACCCTGGGAACATTTCCTTTGTTTGTCTCTGCTCTGACCAATCAGCACCTCAGGCTTTCCCTAATCCTGTAGCAACAGGAGTTCTGCTCAAATCCAAAGCACGGATCCATCCCCCTGGGATTCTGCCACAGAGAAGACTCGGTAATTTTTTAAACGCTCATTAAAAACCATTCTGAAACTATTTTTTTTTCCCCCTGGATGAAAATAGCATCGCATTAGCCCTACCAGACCTGTGCTGGAAATTGAGAAGAACATTGTGCAGAAATACAGAGTCAATTTACTCAAGTAAGCACACACCTGCTTTTTGCAATACAGAATGCTCCTATTTTCATACCAGCAGCTGTCCCTGGGACTGAGCTACACAAATGAATAATGCATTTAATATGTTATTAAATAGGGAAGCTAGCTCCGCAATAACAAGGCAACTTATGATTAGGTTGGGCCCGAGCTCTGAATATGACTGGGATGCACTTAGTGGTAACGCGTTCTTCAATCTACCGAGAAGAAAAGTGATCTCTGATGGCAGGGGAGTCTTTGTGCAATTACTGGCAAGGAAACATTCTGCAAGCGTGCCTTTGCTGCTACCGACTGCTCATCAGTCGACAGGGTGTTACTTCAGTAACGCCGATTTCAACTGTTCTCTGCCTTCCTATCCTGATACCCCTGTCCCCTTCTACTTTACGGCTACCTTCTTTGATTTCGCTTCTGAGCTTCCTGCCGGCCTTAAAAAAGATGGAGACCATCGTTTTTCTTTGTGAGAGTAAAACCGTTATTTTACTATTTAGCAGTTTTTTTGTTTTTTTTTTAAATCTTGTGAATTTGGGTGGAATACAAATGTTTATCATTATTCAGTCTATGCTAAGGTGATAGCATCATCTGATTCAGCCGATAGAAACCCTATCTGCTCTTTTAGTATCACGGGGAGGCACTTTTAAAATAAATGAATGATATCCTGGCTGGTGTGGCTCAGTGGGTGAGCACTGGCCCGTGCACCAAGAGGTCACCAGTCAGATTCCCTGTCAGGGCACATGCCTGGGTTGAGGCTCAATCCCCAGTCAGGTGTGTGCAGAGAAGCAGATTTATGTTTCTCTCTCTCTCTCCCTCCCTCTCCTTTCCTCTCTCTAAACTCAATTAAAAATTATTAAAAAATAAAATAAAATAATTGAATGTCTAGAGCTCTCACCCCAGGAATTGTGAGAACTCTGGGCATCCGTGTGTTTTGTTTTAAGGCCCCTGAGGATTCTAGTGCACAGGGACACAGACCACTGCCCTGGTACTTACAGTGCTGTAGGATAGAACTGTCTGAGTTTAAATTCAGGCTCCTACATACTATGATCCTGGGCCAACCTCTCTCCAGTATTCAAGTTCTCCGCCTCTAAAACAGGAAAATTACAGAACCTTTTCATGAAGTTCCTGGGATCATTAAGTGAGGTTATGAAACCAAAGGGGCTTAGACTAGAGTCTGGCACACTGTAAGAACCTAAAAAAGTATTAAAATACTGAAAGTTACTTAAAAAAAAAAAAAGTATTTAAATAACTATTAACTTTTATTAAATAGCAAATTCTCTGAAAATAGAAGCTATCCTATTATTGCCAAGATTATCTTAAGATCAAATCAGTCCATGGCAGTTTCTTTTTCAAAATCCCTCAGAAGTTGCTGTGGGCGTATTCGTGAAGGGCACGGGTCAGGTGCCAAGCAGTCCACAGTCCGGCCTGAACACGTACTTCCAGCATCTGCTCTGTCCACGGTCGGGCAGGCTCCCTCCAGCCTTCGTCTGCCTGCTCTGTTCTTTCCGCCTGGAATGCCCTTTCCTCCTGCCAAGCTCCTCCTCATTCTGCGAAAACCGCCTCAGACGTCATCCTTGTCTGTCCAGCTGGCCCTTCCCTTTCCACAGTCGCTGTCTCAGGCACTGGCCAAGGTGGAGCTGGGACTCTAGGTCCCCAGGTGGCCAAGGCCAGCCGCACTGTGGCCAAGGCCAGCCGCACTGACCCTGAGCTCGGAGTCCCTCATTTGCGTGCACAATGGGAAGAATTTGCATTGTTTACTATTTTGAACCGTACTGTATGCCTTTGTTTTCCAAGCAACACTGCTTTGTTACAAGGACACTTAACAAAACAAGAAATGGAACGAGCCTTGGGGAGACAGAAGGGAGCTAGTTCTGGGTACAGGGTAGGGCTCAGACTTAAAATCTTTCCAGACCCCCCCTTCCCCTCCACGAGGGTGCAGGGCAGCCTCCCTGGCAGACGCAGAGAGGCAGACCTGTGTGCAGACCCTGGCTGGCGAGACCATCACCCTGAGGCTGAGCCCAGGGACAGCACTGAGCACGTCAAAGCTAAAACCCAAGACAAGGAGGGCGTCCTGCTGGATCTGCGAGCAAACAGCTGGAGAATGGCGCGCTCTCAGACACAACATCACCCTGCGCTTGGCACCTCTGCACGGGGCGTCGTCAAGCCCTCCTCCACCAGAAGTACAACTGCCACAGGGTGACACCCGCCTCACCCCCACGCGGCCACTGCCGCAAGGACAATCTGCCACACCAACAACCTGCACCCCAAAAAGAAAGTTAAATGAGGCCCCCACCACCTCCTCGGGCCCACCAGGTAGCTTTCTGCCTGCATCCTGTGACCATGGCAACCCCATCCAGTTTCTCTTTTGCTGCCTGGGGAGAGATCTTCCTGGAGCCGATGTGCCCGTGTTGAACGAGGATCCTGTGCAGCAGGTGGAACAGCCACGTTTAAAGAACCGGGTTCCTCGGCTGACGAGGCAGGTTCTCCAAGTTTCTCT